TGGGGGGAGCAGGGCACAGAGCAGATTTTCCCCCACTTGGTTCCATTCCAAGCTCCTCCAAGGCAAGCTGTGTGTCTTGCCCCGGGTGTCCTTTGCAAAATTTAGGGCATTGCAACCGCCTATTGGCACGTCATCTGCCCTTGGGTCACAGAGTGCTAATGAGTGCGTTTTACAATCCTCTTGTAAGATAAAAAAGTTCTCAAAGTCCCCACTCGACCCAAGAAGTGCAGCTGGCTTCACCTCTCACTTTGAACTTGCCATGTTCTTCCCCAAACCTGACCTTCCTTGAGACATCTCCATTTCACAACACATTTTCTATCTGATTGCTATCATTTTCCCTCCTCCCATCTAAGGTCTGCACACCTTAGTGCCAACATTTTATAAATCTGTCCGCTTCCCTCCATCTCCACAGTTACCACCCTTGGCCAAGCCAACATTGCCCTCACTTGGATTAACGCAAGCACCCCCCAGCTGTCCACCGCTTTCCACCCCACCTCTCTCTGATCCGTTCTCCACATAGCCGCGAGAGTGATCTTTCTGAAGATCAAATCACACCACTCCCTGGCTTAAAACCCTCTAATGTCGTCCCATTGCTCTTTCTTGTTTTGTTTTTTTGAGACGGAGTCTCACTCTGTCACCCAGGCTGGAGTGCAGTGGCGCGATCTCAGCTCACTGCAACCTCTGCCTCCCGGGTTCAACTGATTCTCCTGCCTCAGCCTCCCGGGTAGCTAGGATTACAGGTGCGTGTGACACCATGCATGGCTAATTTTTGTATTTCTGGTACAGATGGGGTTTCACCACGTTAGCCAGGCTGGTCTCAAACTCCTGACCTCAAGTGATCTACCCGCCTCAGTCTCCCAAAGTGCTGAACACTTCAGAAATTACAGGCGTGAGTCATCACACCTGGCCCCCATTGATCTTAAAATCTAAACTTGTAAGATGGCCACGTGAACTGGCTCTGCTGATTTCTCTCATTTCAACCAGAAGCACTTCATCTGTCAAACATATTAAGCTCATTCTCACCCCAGGGCATTTGTACCAGCTGTTTTCTCCTCCTGGAATGCTCTTCCCCTAGAATTTTACATGGCTGGCTCCTTCCCATGATCAGGTCTCAGCCCAGCATCATCTCCTAGAGTGGTTGTCCCTGGCCTCCCGAGATAAAGCAGGTTCCCCCCTCCCCCGCCACCTTTCACTCTCTATCTCGTTACTTTTTTAATTTTCTAAGTGACATGATTTGTTCATCTATTTGATTTCTCATTTATTGTCTGTCTGGGGCTAACACCAGGCGGGGGATTGAGTTTTGATCCCCAGCACCTAGAACCCATTCCTATCACAGTGTGGCTCCGTACATTTCTCTTGAGCTATGTGAGCAAACTCAATTTGAGCCAGCCAGTTGACAGGGAGGCAGAATTCTAGTAGGGTCTCACTGTCCCTTCCCTCCAAGCTTCAGGGCCTTGCTGACCTCCTTCCTCTCCATTTTGCTGTGCCTGCTCACTGTCCCTGAACTTGAGATCCTGGAGGTTTAGCTGTGCTCTGGGTCCCTTGAAGACCTCGGAGGCAATCCACTGAGGAATGGGGGTTTAAGTGAGACACGAAGAAGAACTTCCTTATGGCAAGAACTGTAAGATGTTGAAGACAAGACGTGGTATTGGGAGTAAAGGCTGTGAGGCACGGAAATACATTTACCAGTGAGTCAACAGTGTTCTGCGGTGCCCAACTGCTTGCACCCCTTGGCTTGCATCATACTGAATCCTTCTGTCAACTCCTGTCCCACAACCCAAGTTGTGCTTTTCCATTCCAGACACCCAGGGAACCGAGTCTTCTCCCCCAGGATCCCTGCTCTGCTCGTTCAGCTGAGTGGCTACTTGGGGGGAGGACTGCCCTTCCTCCCATCATCTCCTGCTAGCCAGCTGTGTGTAGGAGACAACACCTTATGATACTATGTTTGCAGACAAGCTCACACCTTTCGGTGAAGAGAAATTCAGGCCAAGGGCCTGAGGGAATGCAAGGCCTCGGCTTTTCCGGTTGCTTTCCTGGTAGTTATCAGGAAAACTTCCCTCATGCCTGTGCATGCTGGGCCCCTGGTTTAGACCCTGACGTTGGTCCCCAGGAGGTCTGTCATGACCTGAAAGAGGAAGACAAATCTCAGACCCCTTCCTGCCCCAGCTGGCCTGAATCCCTTCCCTCCCTCCTGTCCTCCCTCTCCAGGCTGTCCCCTGCCTTCCCTCTTTGGCCTGCCTCTCCACATTGATCTCATGCCTTCCTCCATAGCAGCTTTCCTTAAGATCTCAGCTCAGCTCCGCTGGCCAACATAACAAAGAGCCTCAATAAGGCCAGGCCGGCAAGCGGCTTATCAAGATGTACATCTTGGCTCTGCACGCAGACTGTCACCTTGGTGCTGCTGTGTCATCACAGATGGCAGAACCAAACAGCTGCACATGCACACACACATACATGCACACACAGACACACATGCATGCACACATACATGCACACACAGACACACATGCATGCACACACACACACACATGCATGCACACATACATGCACACACAGACACACATGCATGCACACACACACACATGCACACACAGACACATGCATGCACACACACCTGCACACACATACACATGCATGCACACACACCTGCACACACATGCATATACACATGCACACCATACACATGCACACACGTACACACACATGCACACACATAGCATGCACATGAACATATGAGTTTGCACACTGTTGAGTGCTGTGGTCCCAGGAGTCAGAAGCTCCAGCTTTGCCCTCCCAGCCGTTGTATCTACTTCTCTTTCCTCCTCCTCTGTCTTGAGAACCTAACCGGGAGACTGCGTGTTGCACGGGATGGGGACTGTGGGGCATGAGATGGATCATCTTTTGTAACACATGCTGGGGACCCGGCAGGTGCACAGTGAATACTTAGGTTGCAGAAGGCCAGTGCCAGAAGGGAGACCAGAGATCTCAACCCATCTCCTCATTCTGCAGGGCAGGAATCCCAGCCAGCAAGGCCCAGGGCTGCTGAGTGAACTCATTAGCTAGCTAGTCACTGAGCAACAGAGTCTGGAGTCTGGGTGCCCTGATGCCCAGTTTTGGGCTCTTTCCCGTCCTCCATTCCTCACTCAGTTGACACAAAGGTGCTGGGGCCTGAAGGACACGGAACAGGTGAGGCCAGTCCCTCTGCTTGAACAGCTCTGTGTAGGAAAGGAGATGAAGCAGACCACAGAAAGCCTCTGCACAACGTGAGGGTGGCCCAGAGAGAATGCCAGAGATCGGAGGAGCAGGGCCAGTCCCGTGGCATTCCGGGGAAACGTCGCCTTGCAGGTGACATTCTGGTTGAGATTTTAAGGAAGCGGGAAGCCCCCTACGGGCGGGAGAGCATTGCAGGCCCAGGGAAGGCCACGCTTTCAGGGAAGGACACGCTTTCGGGGAAGGACACGCTTTCGGGGAGGGACACGCTTTCGGGGAAGGCCACGCTTTCATGGAGATGGAGAAGCAGGAAGCGTGTTTATGGGGAGGTGGGAGCCTCTTTAGCTTGAAAGTGGGATGTGTGGGAGGCACCAGCATGAGAGGTGAGAGGCAGGGGATTCCCCAGAGGGAAAAGACACTGCAGCTCAAGCCTTGTGCTGCCCGGGGGCCCAGCAGAACAGACAGAAAGGAGTGTGCAGGAGCATCCTTCTAGGGGCATCCTGAGTCCAGGGGGTTCCTCTACCCCCACCCCAGTCCTGGTTATGAATCCTCCCAGGAAAGCAGGCAAAATGGAAGAGGGACAGAGGACACGGCGACATATTGCTAGCACACTGCTTCATCTGTCTACAGGCAGTGGACGCAAAGGAAGGGGGATTTAGGGTTCGTACTCCAGGCTGGGGGGGCCCTGGCTTCCTTCTAGCTTGGTCCCTGACTCACTTGGCCTTCAGATCAGCCACTTCCCATCTCTTAGGATATCAATTTTTCTGACTTGCTTTATCCTGATTGGTTAAGAAAGAGGCCTCCAAGTTCTTGAATGACAGTCTCTTCCCTTCGCATGCCTGACCCATCACAGATAAGAGCAAGGAGCCCTGAGAAGCCAAGCTCGTCCCTGGCACTGAGAATGGTCTGCAAGCAGCTGCTGCAGGCTGCCCTGTGCCCAAGCTCCCAGCTGCCAACTCTGGTGTTCTGCTTCCTAAAGTAGTCCTGGCCTGGGGTGGTCAGACCCTGAGGCTCAGTGACCTCTGCATGACCATGTGATCCCTGGCTTTGTGGGGGCTCAGGGCCCTTTCCTGTAGGGCCATCTGTCACATGGACATCCCTGTGCACCCTTCTTTTGTATGACTGAGAGAAGGGTTCAGTTTTTCCTTCTCTCAGGCAGGATGGGAGACTCTGCCTCACATGTCTCTAAAACAGGAGAAAGACCAGCTTCCCAGGGGGGGCCTCAATGGGAACAAAAGTCAGCCGCTTGCTCAGTGTCTGCGCCTGTCCCTCTTTCCCCAGATGGAAGGGAAGAGAGCGGAGAGGCACAGAAGACAGGTGCAGCCGCGGGGTGAGGGAGAGCCTGGAGGCGCAGGATGGAAGATGGAGGTGGTGGTGAAACAGCTTTCCTCCTCCCTGGGGTCGGCAGCGATTCATCCACAGGCGCCTTTTTCCACTGAAACGTGAGCGTGGCCAGGGTGAGCGCTGCCCTCGCGGCCGAGGCGCCTCTGGTGTGTGCCTGTGTGTGCTGCTGCCGCTGTCATCACAGATGCACCCCAGCTGTCACTCCCCGCTCTGCTCTGGCTCGTCGCTCGCGCACACGCGCGCTCTCCTCCCTCGCCCCTTTCTTCCCTCTCTCCTCTCTCTCTCCCTCCATCCCTCTCTTTTCTTCTCAGTTTGTGACTGACCCAGCAGTCCCCTGCCTGCTGCAAGCATTCCACCTCCCGGTGCTGTGTGCTGCGTGCCAGCCCCTGCTCCCGCTGAGTGGAGACTCTGGCATCAGTGCCCACTGCGCTCTGCCTGCCGGTGGTGTCTGGATTTCTCTAGGAATCCCAGGAGGGTCTTACTGGAGGGTTGAGAGCCACCTGATTGAAGGCGTTGGCAGTCAGAGTAAAGACGGTGAGTGCCGATTGACTGGTAGGAAGGAATGGAGGGTTGGTGGGGACGGGGGGTGGTCCGGGCATGGGAAGTGGGGACCGGCCATCTCTGCCCTGCAGGAATAGCTGCAATTGCTTCCCACCTGGGGGCAATTGCTGGGGCCAAGCAGCAGCTTGGGCTCAGGCACCTGAGCATCCCAAAGGTGCACGACACCGGGAACTCTGAGCCCACAGCGCTGGGGACAAGAACTGTGGATTCTGCTGGGAAGTGGGGAGGAGGGCAGCGCTGGCGCCAGATGACAGTCCCGGGTGGCATAGAAACGGTCCCTGCAGCACGGGAGAAGCAGCCAAGAGCCTTGTGCTGTCGTTGTGCCCGGCTCTGCACAGACAGCCCCAAGAAACTCGGGGGTCATGGGAAGCGGGTGGGATGGCAGCCGGGTGCTGGGGACAGGGCCAGATCACAGGAAGCCTTGGGGTGGAGGGTGGCAGGGTGGAGGGCCTGGATGTCAGAGGCATGGGCACAGACCCAGGGCCTGGGCCTCCCCATAGCTTGCCTGCAGGTGGCTGTCCTTGGACAAGGGTGTGGAGGAACCCTCCCCCAGATGAGCATGGGTCCACTCGGCTGTGCATGAAGCCTCCCTGGTGAGGGTGAGGCTGGGAGTGGGCAAGAGAGAGGAGTATCGCAGCCCTTCCCTGCTAGCCCAAGGGCAAGACAGGAGAATCAGGCCTGTGAGAACCTGCTGGGGTGTCCCGCGGCTGTACACCCAGCCATCCACCTGCAAATGGGTCAGGGAGCCTTAGTGGGGGCCGTGCACTGAGCTTGGGTGGGGGGTACACAGCGGGGCCAGGCCTGCCTGGCTTCTTGACCCAGGCAGGGGGCATGGACCCCCTGAGTAGAGCGGCACAGTCACTCCCAATCCCCCAGGCCCATTTGAACAGTGCTGGAGAGGGGAGCAGCCTGACCAGGAGTCGGAAGTTCATATTCCTGCACCTCCCCGCAGGTCCGGGGCTGGGTTCCAGTTGGCGGCTCTGTCTCTCCCCCACCCCCAAGCTGTCCACATTTCTGGGGGGTGTTGGCACCTGGCTGTCAGGGCTACTTGGGCAGTGCCTCTTTGTGACTCAGATGACACCCCTGCAGCTTAGATAACCGCCTCAGGTGGGGGCGGGGAGGGAGCCGAGCACGTGGAGCTGAGGCGGGGGAAGTCCAGCTGGTAGGGAAACCCGACAGCAGCTTCCGAGCTGCCAAGAAGAGCCCAGCTCTTCCCACCCCCACCTCCCCACCGGCAGAAAGAAAGTCTCAGCACTGCCAAAAGAGGGAGACCAGGAAAGCCAGGCCCGTGGGGAGGGGGAAGGAGAGAGGCCGCTTAAGTTGCCGATCTGGTGTCTTTGGGGTTTGACAGAAGCTTGTCTGGGCCCAGGAGGAGCAAATCCTGCTCCCATTTCCCAAGCACCAGAGCCCAGGGGCCACCTCTGGGCTGTTTGGGCCTCAGTGGGCAGTGTAGGAAGGAGGAGGGGACGGCGTATATGTGATGATTGGGGGTGTCTGGGAGCTCTGGGGGTGGGCAGAGGAGGAAGGAGCCAGCATAGAGGCCGTCTGACCCTCTGGTCTTCCTCCTTCCCCCCAGCCAGGCTTCCCCTGTGCCCTGCCTGGGGACACCACTCTGAGCCCAGCCCCAGGGCCCAGCGGATACCTGAGCCTCCCTCATGTCAGGGAGCAGCTCCCATGAGGAGTCACTCAGGGGGCTTCTCTGCTCTACTTCCCAGAGGGTCTGTTTGAGATTGGGAATATCTGACAAGAAAACGGGGATGCAGGAGGCTGGGGGTGAAGATGGGGCATGTGTTTTAAAATGAACCAGGAGGGCATATGGCCGTTCCAAGTACAAATATAGAGATTGTAAAAACCTGGTTCCTTGCTGCCTGGGCAGTGTGTGTGATGGGGGTGATGGGCAGGAAAGAGATCTAGCATGTGTCCTAGAGGGCCTGGGTGCCCAGACGGGCAGCAGCAAGGGAAACCCAGTCTAGACAGCAGTGGCAGCCTCCCCTGCGTCCCGGGCATGTGGAATCTCGGGCTGTCTTTGGCCCGGGGCTCTGGCTGCCCACTCTCCGGGCTCCCTCTCAGCCTTCCTGGGGTTGGCGGAAGGGCACTGCCCCTGCGGGCCCAGGGCGTGGGCCCAGTGCTGGCACTGCCTCTCTCTGGCCCTCTGCAGAATGAAGGGGGTGGCGGAGTAGGCTGTCAATGCCCCTTTTACCCCTGAGTCCTGTGACTCTTCCATGCTGAGGGGTGTGGAGGCCTTGTCTTGAGTCAGGGACCCTTGACCAAGGGGAGATGCCAGGGGAGTGGGTGCACCCTAGGGCTAGCATGATGGCCCAGGAATCAGGAATTCAGAGGTGGAGGCCCGATGGGCATTATCTGGCTGCATGTCTTGGATGCTTGATGTGGAGGGATAGACAGGAGCAGAAGCCTGGGAGGAAGGGCGCGGACACCAGGTCTATGGTGAGTGTGCAGGAGGTTTCTAGCTAGAGTCTGAGACTAGATTCATTAACGTCCAGCTCAGGAGAAATGGAAGGGGCAGGTGCATGGAGTGGTCCAGTCTCCTGCCGTCCCAACCTAGCTCTCTGCAGTGAGTGCGTGCGTGCAGGCTGTTCCATGCTCTGAGGGGCCGGGTGGGGCGCTAGCAGGGAGGTAGCTCCCACCCCCAGTCTCTAGGGGTGGCTGCAGCCCACTCAGCTCTGCACGTGGAACCCCCTGCTCCTACTGGGGCCTCTTGCTCCCCCATGGCCTCCTCAGCCTTGACTCCCCCACAGCAGAGCTCCGGCCTACTCCCCTCACCTCAGCACACAACCCCCAGCCAGAAAGGTTTCTAGAAAGCCCCCTCCACCCTCTCTAAGATCTTGGCCTCCAGGACTTGGCCTCCCAGGACTTCAAGAAGGGAGGCTGGGAAGAGGAGAACCTGGCTTGCTTGCATCTCAGTCCAGCAAGTCACAAAGTCTGTTCCTTCATCAGGGCAGTGGGGACAAAGACAGCTAGCTGCCTTAGCTCCAGCGAGAGTGGATCAGGCAATGCCGTGGACGCTGCGGAGGACCCTTCCGAGGAAAGGCAGCGTCTTCCTTTCCTACCTCTGCCTTTCCTGCACAAGTAGCCCCCATGTGTAAGCAGACGGACAACTGAGTTAGGAGCCAGAGAGCTCGGGCTCAGACCCATATGATTCCATTTGCCTAACTTTAGGCGAGTTAATTTCTGTTGCCTCAGTTTCCCCCATCTGCAAAATGATAGTGACAAGAACACTAACCCCAGAGAGTTGTTACAAGGATGAAGAAAACTAGGTTTGTGACTGTGGTAATTTTTTCTCCCCAGGTCCCAGTTAACTTCTCAGTGGGTCCTGGAGGCTCAGGGACAGGCCAGCATGGTCTCCTCGGCGGGCGGCCGTTTGCCCTGCTGGGAGGTGCCCCGGCCTAGTAGTATAAAACTCGAATATGCATGAAAATCGCCTGGGGATCTTGTTAAAATGCTGATTCTGACTCAGTCATTCTGGGTGGGACCTGGGACTGCCTTCTTACAAGGCTCCCGAGCTAGACCAATGCTGCGGATCCATGGACCGCACTTTGAGTTGCAATGGGCTACACTCAGAGCCCGTGTTTCTGGCCCCCCAGAGTTCCTCATTTGACTGCTTTGAGCTCTTCAGCCCCATTCTCCCATCCTGGCTCTCTCCGGAAGGGAGGCCAGGGCTTCCGTGGAGGCCCAGCCCCTTATCTTTGGTCTCCCTGTCTCTAGGACTGGGTTAGGAGCAGGCTCAGCATCCAGAGTGGATGAGGCCATGGGACTTGGAGACAGGAGATCTCGCTGTCCGCCATGCTGTACCCTGGGTAGGGACTTCCCTCCCAGACTGTGAATTTATTTCAGCAGCTGTCAGCGCCTGCCACGGCAGCTGCTCTCCAAGCTTCCCAATGTAGGTCACCCCCTTTCCTTAAGGAGGCTCCACTCTTCTGGGGGTGGGAAGGGGCCCTTTGGATGGAGGTGTGTTGGTAGGCAGAGGCTCAGGAACTAGGGAGTGCTGGCTGCAGCCCCACCTCTCCCTAGGAGTCCTTCTGTGACGACACACACGTATGACTGGTGTCCTCTGCGAGCTGCGCTGTTTTTCTCGCTCTTGGGAAGGTCCTGGTGTCCAGGAGGAAGCCCAAGGAACCCAGGAAAGCAGAATTTGCTGCTCAGAGAGCAAGGGGCATATCCGCATGGACCTGGGGGCCTTGTTTTCATCACATTTCTCTAGACAATACCAGGATCAACAGTGTCCTGCCACCTTGCAAGACAATACCTATGGGTCTGCATTGTGGGGACTTGCCTGACTTGTGCAGGTGACATCCCAGTCGAGGCTGGAGATGGGACCTCCAGACCTGCACAAGAGGCCACCTTCGCCAGCCTGTGTGCTGGTTAACCCCTGGGCTCACAGTGTGGGAGGCACTGAGGGACGGGAAAGGGTGGCGTGGGAGGCAAAAGAGGAGCCTACCCAGAGGAGGCAGAAGCCTTAGGTGGAAACTGGCCTGAGCTAGGGTGGGAGGGTTTCTCCACTATCTATCTGCCTGCAGCAAGCCAGAAGGAGTGGGAGCAGATGCCTGGATGGGGCATCTGGCCTCAGTGTGGACCCTGAGCATAGGAAGGATCTCATGGGTTAGGGGCTGCCCTGCAGAACTTCTCTCTAGACCTTAGCTCCAGGCTGCAGGTGGCTTACACATATGTCTGCTGGGGGCATTTGGGAACTTAGAGGCATCTCATTCGGTTGCCTGAGTGTTGGCATTTGAGAAGTGCTGGAGTGCTGCCAGCAAGGTGCGTGTGCATGTGTGCAGGCATGTGGGCTCATGTATGTTAGCACACGCCTAGCTGCACAGCTCTCTGCGGGTGTGTTTGCATCCCGTGCTGTGTACAGAGCTCCAAGCACATGTCTGGGAGGCCTGTGTGTGTGCCCTGCTCTGTGCACACATAAGTATCTCCCTGGAAGGGCCACTACCCGGTGACAGTCGCCAGGGAGTGACGGGCAGCCTGGCTCCAAAACCTGCAATCCAGTCCCTTATTTACCGTGTGACCTGGGGCAAGTGATCGTCATCTCTATGCCTTGGGTGGCCGTGGACGGTGAGCTCTGGACATGGGCATTCTTGATTGAGTAAGAGAGATTGTGCTGAAGGTCAGGGCTCGAGGGACAGACAGCGTAGACGCTGCTGTTTGAAGGCAGGTCTGCGAGGGCCATAGGTGTGGGGCAGAAATACACAGACTCCACAGGCCTGGGGTGCTCAGGAATGAGAACCAACCTCACATGTGAGGTTGGTGGGATCGGGAAGGAAGCCGTCACACCGACCTGCTGCTGACAGCCCTCTCCCCCGGAGGGAGGAACTGCTGCTCCCTCATGCCTGTCTTGGGCTCAAGTCCAAGCTTGGAGCAGGAGCCTCTGCCTGGATTTCCACAGTGATGTGCACTGAGTGTGTCAACTCTCTTCCCTTCACTAGATAGATCCTCATAGAAATTCCACCAAGCAGGTATTGCGGTCACCATCTCCAGGCATAAAGAAGCTGAGGCCCAGAGGGTGTAAGCAGTTTGTTTAAAGAACTGGCCAGAGATTTGAACCCAGAGCCCCCACCTCTGCCAACTGGCACCAGGAGCCCACTGGGGCTTGGCCTTGAGACAGTGGTTAGAGAACCATGACATCGCCACCCTCAGGGGCTCCTCCACCCCTCATGCCAGGGACGTGGGTCCTCCTGAAGGCTGCATGGCAGGGGGGGTCCCAGGCTGCCTGCAATCCCACATTTGTGCCCAGTCTTGTGACCCCTCTGCCAGCGCCTGCGGGGCCCTCGGCGGACTGGCACCCTTACTGTGTGGGGGAAGGGGAGGAAAGACAGCCAAGAGGGCAGCGCTCCGCCCCTCAGCAGGCTGCCCTTGCCGGGGTCAGAGCCGACTGTCCTGTTCTAACTGGGCACTGCTGTGGCGGCCTGAGGAGCACTCAAGGAGGGAGGGGCCGAGGGGAGCTGAGGGGAGAAGATGGGGGCAACAGGGTTTGCAGCAGGACCCTAATGCCCGAGTGGAAACCTGCACAAACAGGCAGAGATTCTGGGCTCAGCACTGACGCTTCCTGGCAACTCCATCTACCTCCGGGCCTGTCTCTTTCACTCTGATATTGTCTCCCGGGCTCCCAGAATTACATAGGCCCATGCGGGCAGGGAGAGGCAGGCTGCAACCAGGAATCACCCAGGGACAAATCTGGCAACCAAGGGAGGTCAGAGGCTGGGAGCCGCCTGGAGCAGTGGGCTGATGCAGGGAGCCCGTGGAGGGTGAAGGAGAGGGGTGCGGGCATCCTCCCTCCTTCCCCACCCGTCCCCGCCCCTGCCAGCTGCAGCAGGTAAACACATGCCAGTCCCGGTCCCTGTCTCTGATGGGCTGGCAGCCTGGGCCTCCCATCTGGAAGGAAGTGGAGACCCCAGCACACGTCCTGTGTCCCGGTCGGGAGACACAGGGGGGCAGACCCTAGAAAGGGTAAGTGCCCCCTTGTCCCCTCGGAAGGAAGCCTGCTCCTGCACCCCGGCTGCCTCAGCGCCCCTGCTCTGAGATCTCACCTCTCCTCTGTGTCCCTGTCTCTTCCTAGCAGCTGCCGCAGCATGAACCCCTGAGCTGATGAGTCTTATTATAGCCCGGCTGGCGGAAGACAGAGTGCTGCTATTCACCTCTGCGCGGGCGGCGGTGCAGGGGGAAGCGGCAGGCCGTCCAGTGGCTCACACCCTACGCGACTGCAGCTGCCAAGGGCCTGGCCCCTGCCTCCCTGGGGCCATGGTGAGCTGTGGTGGGGCTGGAGAAACTGGGACCCAGGTGAGGGGGGCCTCCAGGGACAGGTGACAGCTGTGGCCTGTGACCTCACTCTGCTCACCCCGCAGAGACAACTCAGTTTCTCCACCCATGACTCAAGGAATGCCCAGATGGGAGACCAGGTTGTCATGAAAACATTTGAGTGATCAACAAGAAGGCGGAGGAGGCCGGGTGGGCACTCGGGTGCGCCCCAGCCTTGCCGCACTGTGCAAGCCGAAGCCTGTTCCTCCCCCACCCCAGGGGGTTGAAAGCTCCCTGGCTCCTCTTCTTCCCCCACCCAGGGAATCATGACTGAGAGGAACAGGAGAGGGCATGAGGAGTGTAAAGAGACACCCGGGACCTCTCCCTAACCCCTGGGCTGGAACGGGGCTCCTGTGCCTGCCTGCGCTCAGTGCTCCTCCCTCCCTCAGGACTGACAGGCGGTGCACCCAGGGCCTCCTCTCTCCCCAGAGCGACAGGGCCCAGAGAGCCGTGGGCCTCACCATGCTGGCGCCGGGCAGCAGCCCTGAGCAGAGGGGCAGGCTCGCCCTGCAGTGGAGGCAGGTCTCCTGTGAGTACACCCCTGGCCCTGGAGGAGGGTGCGGGTGGGGTGGGGGTGCCGAGGTGACTTTAGGTAGCACCGTATGGAGCCTTAGCAACACTTAGGCTGCAGGGAGGCCTAGGCCAGATCTTCCTGGGATACCCGAGGCCATGTTCTGGGAAGCCAGGGTCATGCCTGGTGACAGCATCCCTACCAGTCAGTCACCGCTGAGTGCTGAGTGGTTAGACCTGGAGTTGGAGGCCTCGACAGTTGTTCTACCTCCCCCAGGTAAGTCTCTGTGACCTCCTGGGGTCCCCGATGAGAGAAGAGCTCTGCTGGAACGCAGGCCTGCTGAGTCTTAAACAGCCTCACTGGTGCCTGAACTTGTCAGTCTGAGCTTGTCAGTCTGTTTCATAGACCGCGGCGAGCCCTTTTGCTCCCATGGGAACTGCCCCGCTGGCTGGCCTCGGCCAGGAGCTGGGTCAGCTTGGAGATGTCTCGTATGCTCCTTATGTCTCCGCTTTCCCAACTCTCAGTAGAGGACCTAGTGGGCTCTTGGGAGGCGGTGCTGGAAGAGACTTTGGGGAGTGGGTCCAACCCCTCCTGCATATAGGCAGACTGAGCCCTCCATTTACCAAAAATGGGAGGAAGCGTGAATGAAGGCAACGCCTGGCAGCGTCAGGGTGAAAGGAGCCCTGAGAATTCTCTTTATATGTGGCAAAGGGACAAGGTCAACAAGGGCTGTCCTGCCCAAGGCTACACGGTGGCAGGGAGGAAATGGTCCTGCGGGATGGGGACGGTATTCCGCCTGACTTCCCGCTGCGGCCAGCCCTGTGATCCGGGGCCCCACAACACAGGCAGCCTGAATTATTCACTGTGCGAGAGAGGCTGGCCCCCGAGTGACTCAGATCTCCTTTCAACCTCATTCCAGAATCACTCAACACCTCTCAATACGGGATTATGTTTTCTTGTCACTGGAGCTTTTCTGCCACCCTGGTCTCCAGGGCGGTTCGGAGGCAGGGAGTTGCTCTTCTGCCGCGGCTCTCGGCCTGCTGTCAGGCCCTTCCCTGGGAGGGGCGAGTGGCTTCTGGGGATGCAGATCCTTTGGAGAGGGAAGCTGAATGGATTGGATTTTTTTTTTTTTCTCCCTGAGGAAAGTCAAGTCTGAAGAATGCTGATTTTCAGATGGCTTGGTGTGGTGGTGTGGGGCTGGCTGACTGGTAGCAGATGGGCTCAGAGGGGTGAGAGGTGAGCGGTGACATGAGGTAACCCAAGATGGCCAGAAAAAGGGTCTCCAGTGGCTTCCATGGCTGCGCCTGTGCTCACTTCTCACCAAGAACAGGGGGGCTCGCTGTTAGGCTCAGGGAGGCCTAGGCCAGATCTAGCCACGTGTCAGCTCTCAGCTGTCATCGATCCTCCAGGCAGGGGAAGGGGAGAGTCTCATCCTCTTCCTTCAAGCTCCACCCTTTGGGACACCAGACACCCAGAGCCCTGTTGGACAAGACTTAAGGCTGTTCACACCCAGCTCACGGCCCATTGGTCCACCCCCACCTGGGACAGCCAGGCCCCAGGTCTCAGGCCCCAGGTCTCAGGTCCCAGGTACCAGGTCTCAGGTCCCAGGCCCCAGGCCCCAGGTCTCAGGTCCCAGGCCCCAGGTCGGGGATGGACTGATGGGCTGTGAGCTGGGTCTGAACTTCTCCATTACTTCTCTGGCTGGGGTCTTTTCTCTAGTCTGTGTGGAACTGACCTTGGCTGGGCTGACTTGGTGGGACTGAACTATTTTGAGCTCTTCCCAGTTCCCTTTCACAACGAGCAGGCTTCCCTGCTACTCAGGAGGACACTTAGGGGTTTTTGAGGCCGCTGTTGGAAAGGGCTGCTCCACAACGGAAGGCACGGCTCTGATGTGATTGTTCCCCGAGGGTCACTTCTCCCAGCCCTACACACAGGACCCCATGCTCACTATGCAGAAGAAGAGTCTTGGGCAAAAGATGGGACCGGGAAAGGAATTCTGTTCATCGGGCCATTGTGCAGGAATGCTGCCCTGTAGCCCCTAGGAACAGAGGCCCAGGCTGAGAGCCTGGATGGTGTTAGGGTGGAGTCAATGTGGAAGGCGTCCTGGGCCCTGTGATTTGTCAATGTTGAAGTGGGTTTGTGCATCTTAGCCTGTCACTCCGACAGTGGGACCTTCGGTGCACAGCCTGGGCTCTAAACTCTCACGCCAAGTTGCTGGTGTCATCTTGGGTGTGGGGTTCATGGAGACCTAACAGCACGTGGGAAGCTGTGCAGGACAGGGCTGGGAGTGCTGTTTTGTGCTCTCGCCTTTCCACACGCAGCTTGTCTTTAGGGCAGCTCCAGAGTTGGGGTGGGCCACAGAGGGGAGGGGGCCAGCAGCCTGGCCATTTTCCACGGGAAAGAGAGACTTTGTCCCAGCAGTGACACTGGGAGAGGGCATGGGAGCAGGTTTCTCTGACAACCTTTTCTCCTGTATTGTGTCAACATCCATGGTGTCTGTAGGACCCAAGCTCCCAGGAGATGACTGTGGGAGGCCCTGCAAGCTTCCCATCACTGTGCACCAGCATGGCTTGTCCTCTGGGCTCTGGCTGAGTCTGCAGGGTCATTCTCCACCCAAGTGATTGCTCTGCCAGATGTGTGGCAAGGCAGGGCACCCTGCAGACACTGTGTGATGTCCATTACTATGGAAGTGGCTTTGGATTTGTTATCCTTTTATGTGGCTAATAAATGTTTATGCCTTGATTGTGGCTTGTGCCAAAGGAGATAAAGCCAAGAGCTTGTTATGATATGAGCTGGAAAGGAGGGAAGCGTAGCAGGAGGTAATGACCTGGCCTGTCGCTTTCTTTCCCCCGTCTGTCCCTCCCATCAAGGGATCACCTGCTGGGTCGCCCTGTATGCCGTGGAGGCCCTCCCCACCTGCCCTTTCTCCTGCAAGTGTGACAGCCGCAGCCTGGAGGTGGACTGCAGTGGCCTAGGCCTCACCACGGTGCCCCCAGATGTGCCTGCGGCCACCCGAACCCTCTTGCTCTTGAACAATAAGCTGAGTGCCCTGCCAAGCTGGGCTTTCGCCAACCTGTCCAGCCTGCAGCGGCTGGACCTGTCCAACAACTTCCTGGACCAGCTGCCCCACTCCATTTTCGGGGACCTGACGAATCTGACTGAGCTGCAGCTACGCAATAACAGCATCAGGACCCTGGACAGGGACCTGCTGCGGCATGCGCCGCTGCTCCGCCACCTGGACCTGTCCATCAACGGCCTGGCCCAGCTGCCCCCTGGCCTTTTTGACGGCCTCCTGGCTCTGCGTTCCCTCTCGCTTCGCTCCAACCGTCTGCAGAACCTGGACCGGCTGACATTTGAACCCCTAGCGAACCTGCAGCTGCTGCAAGTGGGAGATAACCCCTGGGAGTGTGACTGTAACCTGCGTGAGTTCAAACACTGGATGGAGTGGTTCTCCTACCGAGGTGAGCACAGCCGGCCCCGCTGGGGCCCCAGGGATCGGGACAATCACCTCTGGCCCCACACTTTCCTCCTGGTGGCTGGGTGCTGACTCAGAGAGCAGGCCAGGGCAAAGAAGGGGGCGACCCTGCCTCTGTGCCAGCTCGGCTAGAAAAGTCACAAGCCTCCCCTCAGATGAGCCATCACCCTTCCTGCCAGTGGGAGAGAGGCTGGTGCTGCTCCCTCCACCCCCACCCTCCCCTCCCTGCTCTGCATCCCCTCCCCAAGCTAGCTCCCCGCTTTCTCCTAGGAAGACTCGCAGAACTGGATCTCCCTTTCGTAGGTTACATAAGGGAAGTAAAGACACCTGGACTTTGTATCCCACCAGGTTTGCCTGTGGGCTTCCCCGGTGCGGTAGAAGGAGGGAGAAAAACAGCTCTTCTTCTGAAGAATACAGCCGTCTCTTAAACACCTACCCTTACATGACAGGGGAATAGAATGAATCCTCAGTAAAACCACAGCTTCCTTGTGGAGACAGTGCCAACTTCCTCTCCCAAGAAGTTTTGTCATCCAGACTTTAAGAAGTCAAATGAGTTAGGTTTTACTTTCTTCCCGTCCCCTTTTCTTTAATGTGGGAAAGTGCTGTCATGACCTATGATATGGTCACACGACATGGGAAAGGAGGGTGCGCAAGACAGTGGTGAGAAGGGCCGGATCTGCCTTTGTATTTCGGCTCTGCCACCTGCTAGCTGTGTGATCTTGAGAAAGCTGGTTGCCCTCTCGCTGTGGCACTGTAAAGTGGGAAGGAAACAATATCTATTTCGTAGGGTCATTGTGAGGATGAAATGTGGCAATGCACGACATGTGGCTTGAGAGGTGCCCAGCACAAAGTGAGTCCTCAATAAAACGTTCATTTATCTGTTCGCTTCCTGGTAAGAATCAAATACTAAGTGGACTTGAAATGCCATTTAGTGCCCAGCATAAAGTACATGCTCAATGAATGTCTGCTGAGCTGATGAATCAATATTTAAGCGGTGAAAATAATGCCAATGCTTTTTGTTAAAGTCTTACCACTTTCATTTCATCTCCAGCCACAATTTCAATTATTTCCATGCAATTCTCCTGTGTTAGTTAATTAAAAATGTTTTACGTACTATAAAGTGCCACAAAATGTTAGTCACTATGATACTTTCTCCCATTTTCGTGAGAGGGGAAATAATGATTACTATTTGTATAGTTTCCAGTTTACCAATGTCTTTTCATGTACATGATTTTAACCCTTACAGCAACTAATTGAGATAGACCTTCTTATTTTACAGCTAAGAAAACTAAAACTCATAAGTAATTAAATAAATTAAATAATTTTCACAAGATGACACAGCCAGGATTAAACCTTGGGTCTTCTGAGCAGGGAAATGAGGCTGCACCCCTGTCAGCACCCAGCTCTGCATCCCCAGGCAGTACTGATACATGTTCCTGGGATGTGAGGTTTGCTGCAGGCCACCCAGGCGTCAGCCGCATAGGGGAACTACTAGGCCAGGTGTCTTTAGACCCTCCTCTGCTATGGTCGTCGGGAACTGAATTCCCAGCACAAAAAGGCATGCCATGAGAATGTGCACTTTTCAGACTTTTTCAATAGCAGAATTGCTTTCAACCTTGCATTTCTTTTTTTTTTTTTTTTTTTTTTTTGAGACGGAGTCTCGCTCTGCCGCCCAGGCTGGAGTGCAGTGGCCAGATCTCAGCTCACTGCAAGCTCCGCCTCCCGGGTTCACGCCATTCTCCTGCCTCAGCCTCCCGAGTAGCTGGGACTACAGGCGCCCGCCACCTCGCCCGGCTAGTTTTCTGTATTTTTTAGTAGAGATGGGGTTTCACCGTGTCGGCCAGGATGGTCTCGATCTCCTGACCTCGTGATCCACCCGTCTCGGCCTCCCAAAGTGCTGGGATTACAGGCTTGAGCCACCGCGCCCGGCCCAACCTTGCATTTCTTAAAAACAAAATCTTGGAATATTTCCATTGGCATCCCAGGGAAAGATTGATGCCCACTGTATGAGGAGACTTGCGGCAGACGGGCTGCAGAGGGAGCTGCCGGTGACGGAGTGGCTGCAGCCCGCATCTCCTCAGCAGGGGGTCTAGTGCCTGCATCTAGATTTCGCTGGAAATCTAGAATCCAACTTTCACTTTCTAGGGGACGTCTAGGCAGATTGTTGTCCTCAGCCACCCTCTCTCTCACCCCACCCCTGTCCTGCTTCTGTGTCTCCCTATGTCTGAGCCAGGCTCCGCCATCATCATGAAGACGTGTTGGCGAGCCCGTGCGCCCACGTACCCACACCTCCTCATCAGCACCAGCCTCCTCTCCTTGGCCTCGTGTGCCTCCAGGATTCCCCCTCCCGTTGCGTTTGTACTCACAGGGCTGTGGTTGGGGCACTGATGGGGCCATTGGGTTGCTCCTAAGGAGGAAAAGGAGAACATTCCTGCCAACTCTTTTCCTCCCTACACCAGAAAGGGAGCTGCCCACTCTTAGGCAGCCAAAAGGTCTTGCATGGAGGGCCCGTGGCAGAGGCGGGGGTTTTGACTTTTGTCCTTCGAGTGAGACGTAAGAACCCTAGAAGGATAAGATGCTGTGTTGAGAACAGTATCCTGGGCTCACAGACAGGTGATCAGCAGGCAGATTCAGGGGCAGACAGTGTGGCAGGGACGCTCAGCTTTCTGCAATGACAGCCCTTTCCTGGGCACCTCCCCACGTTAGCACTGCCTTGCTCTGTGGGTCAGTTTGGCCCGGGAGAGGACAGGCTGGATGGAAGTGGCTGTGAGCTTCTCTATAAAATGAGAATAAAGACAATATCCATTTCACATGGCTCCTGTGAGGATGAAATGGCACGATATACGTAATTCACTGTGGACTTGGCTCAATCAATGCTGTTTTCCCTCCTCCGCTTCCTCTTCTATAGATGGCGATTCCAGGATTGACTACATTGCTGATAAAAACTACCTTCTGGGGCTTCCGTTTTGGGGAGCTGGGGATGGGGAGAGGGAGTGCAAGTTCTGGATGCCTGGTCAGCCCCTCTTTTTCTCTCCTGCATGCAGGGGGGCGCTTGGACCAGCTTGCCTGCACCCTGCCCAAGGAGCTGAGGGGGAAGGACATGCGGATGGTCCCCATGGAGATGTTCAACTACTGCTCCCAGCTGGAGGATGAGAATAGCTCAGCTGGGCTGGATATTCCTGGGCCACCCTGCACCAAGGCCAGTCCAGAGCCTGCTAAGCCCAAGCCCGGGGCTGAGCCAGAGCCGGAGCCCAGCACGGCCTGCCCACAGAAGCAGAGGCACCGGCCGGCGAGTGTGAGGCGAGCCATGGGCACGGTGATCATCGCAGGGGTCGTGTGCGGCATCGTCTGCATCATGATGGTGGTGGCCGCTGCCTATGGCTGCATCTACGCCTCCCTCATGGCCAAGTACCACCGGGAGCTCAAAAAGCGCCAGCCCCTGATGGGGGACCCCGAGGGCGAGCACGAGGACCAGAAGCAGATCTCTTCTGTGGCCTGAGCGCCCACTCCCACCCGGACAGGTAGGAAGGGCGGGGAGAGCACGCCGCATTGCTCTGCCACAGCCTCCACCTTGACCCGGCACTGGCCTTTGCCTCCCCCAGTCCACTCTCCTCCCCGCCCTCCAGCAGACAAGCCACAGCGGGCTCTCTCCCTGCACTTTCGAGGCTCCCTGGAAGCCGCCGTGCTGGGGGCTCCTGCGGATGCTCCTCTCGGAGCCAGTACATCTTTGGAACATCTGGGGGATCTCCCTAAGCTCTGGCCACGGCAAAGCAAGGAGGTGTGTGCAAGAGGAGGCTTCCGGACTGGGCATTCCCCTGTCGCCCTTCCTGCCCTGGGGTGGCCACAGCTGGTGACTCTTCCTACCTTGCTGGTACCACCTCACCTGCATTGAGGGGACGGGGAGGGAGGGATCTGAGGGATGAAGGTAGATTTCTGAGACTCTCTCCTAAGCCAGAAGGACGTTCTTAACACCCCTGCAGTGTGAAAGCTGGCCCAGCTCTACAACTGTTGGTACCAATGTGCAAACACACCAGCCCTGCCATCTGGACCCAGCACTCAGAAACACCACACACCCCTGGCCGACGCCATCATGCCTCTGGATCTGCTATAGGTCACACTGACCACATGCTCCTGGATTCGCTGATTCACTCACACACCCATTGCACCACCAGTGCAGTCACACGGATTGAAAGAATACACACACACACACACACACACAGACACATTCTCACACTCACACGGTCACATGGAGACCGAGGCTATGAGCACTCGGACAGCAGAGACATGCTCTTCCCCGGGGGCCTCCCTGAGATCACAGAGCCTCTCGCTTGCTCACTGCAATCTTCTCAAGTCAACAGCGGGAAGGAACTCAACCAGTAACACCAGGATCCTTTGAGATCCTCTAAAGTGGGCCAAAGTGGTGCCACTGGAGGAGACTTCCTGTCACCATGGTAACCCTCTCACACCTCTCCTGCTGGGCTTTCCCGGGACACCCCCCAGGGGCCTGGAGCGGCTGCATGTGTGCATGGCGGCCTCCTGAGAACCCAGCCACACACCACTGGTGTTGCCTCAGTCCTGCCCACGCACATCACAGCACCATGCTCTGCGGGGCCCCTACCGATTCCTCCACAGCCTGCAGCTTGGCACCATGACTCTGTGCCTCTCACCCTCCATCTTCAGTCCTCCTGGCCTGTGACTTCAGGGCTGGGACTTGGTGGTGCTTTGCCATTGGTGGCACCCTCTGGGGAGAGCAGGTGGCAGGCAGAGAACACGGTGGCTCCCCTGAGGCTCACTGCCTGCCAGCCTATCGCATCCAGAGCCCGGGAGCGGGAGGGGGTGGCCACACGCTGCCCAGAGGCTCCCAGGATGGGGCCTCTGTTCCAGGCTTTGTCTGCTCAGCGTGGCTCCCCAGAGCACTCCTTGCACCCAGGTGGGGGCCAAACCAGAGAGTGGGTGGGGAACCTGTCTGGGATGGAGCCACCTGCCGCCAAGGCAGTGCAGGTTTTCCAGGTTACTTGTCCCCCTCCCCAGCTCCGTCCCTCCTCAGAGTGCGATGACGGTGGGTATCTAGGTGTCGTGCTCACAGGCTCAGGAGGCATCAGGCTCGTCTCTGGCTCTTGGATGGAATCTCGATGGGGGCTCAGGAAGAGGCCAGCCAGAACGCTGAAGCCAAGGGTCTGAGCAGAGGGAGTTGGCAGGCCTAGCTCCTGTGCCCTCCTCTGACCCTCCCTGCTCATGCGGCAGTGGTGAGTGGGGTGGGCTGGGGGCCCGGAGGAGTGCCTTTGAGGAGGTCGGTCCTGGCAGGTGGACAGAGGACGCCTGGCATGGGCGACTTACTGGGACCCCAGGCCACCCTGGCTGCAGCCACAGTCTTCCTGCTTCTTTTGGTGTGCGGGCTGGTACCAGATCTGGGGATTTTCTAAAGGGACTGGGGGAGGGGAGGGCATTGTCAATGGTGGTATCTTTAGCCTGAGACAGAAGATTTTTAAAGGCAAAATTATATTTCTGGTTTGTTGTTTCAGAAGACCAATAAAGACTGTATTTTCCTACGTACTTCCTGGTTTCATTGGGAGGGAAGGGGACTTGGGTGCCAGGAGAGCTGCTTCCTGTCCCCCACCTCCCCAGGAGGCTGGAAAAAGCGCCAGTGGCCATGACTCTGATGCGTAGAGCTCTGATGACAGACGATGCCTCCCGCCCAGGGCCAGGGCTGGGGCAACACTGGGAGAGGGCGGAGGCTGAGTCCTGGATCAGAGCGAGGCCCTGTGGCTGGGGGCAGTGAGCTTGTGACCTGGCAGAGCCAGGATGGTACTTCCATCCCGACCTGACAGGCAGGTTCTTGAGCCTCAGGGCAGCTTAGCTGGGCGGCGCTGAGGTTGTGATGTGAAGGTGAGCTGGGGACCCCACCGTGGCCGTGCCCTGTGGGTGCTGCTCATCCACCCAGCCTTGACATGAATTGGCCCTGGCAGCCAGGACAGATGGGCTTGTGTGGCGAGAAGGCACTGTTTGCCCAGAGGATGCCGCCGCACAGTGGGAGGGGAGGGCAGTTGGAGGGGCCTCTGATGACTGGGTTCTTTCAGCCTCACTGGCTGCTGGCGGGGCTGCTGGTGGGGAGGGGGAGCCCGTTCAGGGCTTACTAGGGCGCCAGCAAACCACACTCTGGGCCTGCAGAGTGAACCCTCCACGGGGGTCAGCAGGTGGGCCCCAGAATTATGGACTGGAGGGCTGGGGAATGAGGCACCGAGTAGAGGGCATGAGGAAGAGCATCAGACCTCTGGGGTTATGAGTACACGGCGAGCCCCAGTGAAGAGTGGGCTCAACGCTCGGCCCGAGAACTCCCTCCTCGGCTATATGGTTCATTCGTCTTCAGAGGCCAAGGCGGAATTTTCTGCTTCCTAGGATCCTCCTTTGGATAACAACCCAGCAAGCCAGGAGCAAACCCTGGAGTGAAGTGAACCGTCGGGGTCCCCCGGGAGTTCAGCTCCACTCCACGGCAGAGCCGGGGTGTCCGCCTTCCCCAGGCGGTGATAACATGTTGCTCTCCTACAGCCCTAATAATCAGAGCAGGGCCCAAGACAAGCCTTCCCGAGCCCCACTGCAGAAGCAAGAACGGGGCACCTCCCAGGCCTGGCACAGGTCTCCGTCATGCATATGTGTGTAATTCAAATGTCATGGTTCCCAGACAGAAGCCCTCAAAGGTCTGAAGGCTGGGCCTGTACTGAGGCCGACCTCTCAGGAGAGGAGAGGCAGGAAGGGCCTCTGTGCAGGGGCTTCTGTACATTGCAAGTCGTTCTGGAAGAACGCCCGTCTGCCGGACAAACCCTTGCCCATGACAGCCCCTCCGTTCTGGAGCTTGACCTCATTCCTTGCCTAGGGCCTGGAGGACATGGAGAATTGAAAACAGATCCTGATCCAAAAGTTAGATCTCTGGAAATTTTGCAGTAGCTGTCTATACACCACCTGCTTGGGGATGAACACGATCTCTACCGGTCTGCTGCCCTTCTGTGTGAGCCGGTGGCGTGAGACATGGCAGTGACGTGCAGCCCGCCGCTGCCCCCGTGGCTGGGCTGAGTGCCCGTCTCCTAACTTCCCCTCGAGCTCGGCGCACAATCGTCACTATACAGCCCCCACTACAGACACCACACTCAGCAGGCCTGGCGCTCACACACTCACAGTGCCAGCCGTTTCCAGGGACAGCAAACGAACCACCCACCCCTCCTTCAGCGACAGGCTCCAGCTGGCCCCAGGATCAGGGAGGCTGAGCCACAGGCCAGGGAGAGGAAGTGACAGAAAGAGACCAAAAGAAAAATCGTAATTGAAGTATCAGGTCTCCAGCACCCCATTTCTTTTCCTCTGGCATTCATGCACCCCAGAGTGTAAGAGCGATTGTCTGCAGTGAGTTAAACTGGAGACACTGGGACACTGTTTCTATGGCAACCCCTCTCGGCTCTTATTCGGCTCTGAGTTAAAAATGCTATCAAATAATTGGAGAGTGCAGGAAAGCACAGCCAGCAGCCTGACCTCCTGTCCACTGTCTTTTCTAGACCTCCAGGTGTACAGGAGCTGAGAAGGGCCCCGTCACGTGGGAGCAGCACAGGCCCTGGCTTGGCTGGGAGCACAGAACAGTCTGAAGGGAGACGATTTCAGGGTCAAAGTTTGGCCTGGAAATCGGGTCTGGGTTTAGTGTGCCCTGGGCCCAGGGAAGCACGGCAACTGGGAGGGTACAAATCCCTTCCAAGTGCTGCGGGTGGCTGCATTGCAGACAACCAGTGACACGGGGGTTTCTACCCGCGACGATTCGGCAATGTCAGACGGAGCCATTCTCCCCCCATCGCTTATCCCAGAGCAGCACACAGCCCAGGACCCCAACTCAGGGCGGCCCTGGTGCCCTCTCTGAGGCTGGAAGACAGAGCCCAGCCGGCTCCTTCCATCCCCTTTGCCCTGACCCTGTCTGCTCTGTCCCCATCCTGCTGCGAGAGTCCTCACCTGGCCAGGGCCTCAGTTACAAGGCAGGTGCCTGACAGCTGCGTCCATGGAGCCAGTGCGGCCGAGCTCGAGTGCCTGTTGGATCACCCAACGTTTCAGAACACAGCTGGGTTCCAGATACTGAAGCTAAAATGAGGCTAAGGAGGGCTTCATTGCAGGGGCCTGATCTTTCTCAGACAGTTAGGCAGAGACACCAAGGACTCTGCGGCACTAAGAAACTGAAAGTCAGGAGAAGCTTGTGAGGGTCACAGTTGCTCTCATCACATAAGCCATGGCAAACTGCAGCACAGGGCAGTGAACCTGGGTTCCAACAAGAGACGGTCTGCGTTCAAATCCCAGCCTCATTCATTATTAGCTGTGGGGCTTTGGGCAAGTAATTTTTCTGGGTCTCCGTTTCCTCAGCTGTAAAATAGAGCCCAAACCATCCCCTTCACTGGGTCACCCCAAGGACTGCATGGGAGGCAGTTTCCACAGTGGCACGTGCTGAACATACACACTGAGCTCATGCCTTAGGGGTTCGAGTCACAGTCCCACTTCCCTCTTAAGCAGGATCCGAGATCCCAAGGCAATAGGAGATGGAGCACGCAAGCGGATGACACAGGAATCAGCATCCATTGTTTGCTATATAAAGAGGCATGACCTCTTGGTGGAATAACACTGTGGGGAAGAGACAGGTCTGGACTGAATTATGGCATCCGATCCCCGCTAGCTGGGTTGCTTTGAGCCAAACGTTCTGAGCCTATGGTCTTCATTTATAAAATAGGCGCTGACAACGATACCTACACTCTAAAATATTTGTAAAGGTTAAATAAGTTAATATTGCAAAAGAGCTTTCTCAAGCTTTAATGTTTAGGCAAATCAGTAGGAACCTCAGTGAAGTGCACTCTGGTTGAATAGGCATGGGCTGGAACCTGAGACTGTGTGTTTCTAACAGAGGCCTGGGCAATTTCAGGGCTGCTGGGCTTCATCTTTTCAATAGCAAAGCTTTCAAGAAGTTACCACTCTGTAAACACTCAGTAAATATTAGCTCTATGATGATGACGATGATTGATTAGCTTTATGATGGTGACGATGATTGATAAAAGGCCTAGAATAAAACAGCTCTGCCCGCCAGCCTTCCTTTCAGCTATGGAATGCCTCAGTGTAATGCTCCATTAACCCTCAGGAAGTGTTTCTCAAGAGAAGCTTGCATAGAGTAAATATATTGTATGGAAGGGGGAGTGGGTGGGGGGTGGCGGGGGGGCTGAGCGGCAGTCTCCGTCCTGGGTGGCCGTGCAGATCTCCTAGCCTCTCTGGGCTTCATTTTGCTCACGTCATGAATACTTTTACATCTAAAGTTTTACGATTTTACAAAATAAATGGCTTAGGAAGAGTGCACTTCCGCCCATCCCACATTCCACCAGCAGGACTGTGGCCCTGGCCACATGTGCGGGGCCTCCCGCTGTGATCTATGCCTTGCTCTTGACACGGACCCCAGCTTCCCGGCCTCAGCGCCACAAGGGCAGCTCCTACCTGCAGCAATGGCTGTCTTCTTGTCCACGGTCACCGCCACAGCTGTGCTTGCTGTCACCACCGTGGGCGCACCCGTACTTTCTGGGGAAACAAAGACAACCCAGTCGCTGGGGAAGAGCCGAGGTTGGGGCAGGTGGAGCGCTACCACTTTCTTGGAATAGGAGACGGGAATAAAAGCAGGCGAAGACATCCTTGGAAGAATTGAGGTGAGGGTGGGGACAGGGGTCGTGTTTGGAGAAGCAGCTGCTGTGATGGTGGTGACCCCAACACGGGTCTTGGACAGACACACACACGGCCTCTGGCCACCAGAACAGTGCAGGGCTGCAGTGTCCCTACGACACCGGGGTTTCTGCCTGTCTGTCGGCTGCAGCATGCATCTTGCCCACAACACCCATGTCGCGCCCAGTGATCCCTTCCAGTGGAAGGAAGGACAGGCTGCATTTCAGCACTGGGTGGTGGGTGATCCTGGATTGCTCTCTGTAAGTCTGCATGAGTCAGAGAGGATGCCGACAGTCAGTCCCATTCAGGAAGCCGGATGCCACAGCTGAGCCACTGTGCGGCCCTGGGCAGCGAGGCGACGGACCCTCCACGCACAGCCGCTCTCTGGGTCTTTCACTCGCTTCACAGCTGTTGCTTCACTTCTGGGACTCTCTGCAGCGACTCAAGGCAAGCCCCGAGGCTCCTGAAGGCCACAGGCCTTGCCTTGCATTGCTCTCTCCACTTCCTCTGGAACAATCAGGCCATCATAGGTGCACAGTTTAGAGGGCAGTTTCATCTCCACATTGAAGCAGAGCTTTCTGGCTGTGACTGGGGCTGGCTACTACAGGACCCCAGGCTTCTTCACTCTCATCAGTCCCTGACCCCGGACTTGAACTTCAAAGCACTCTTGTCCGCAGGTCAGATGCAGATTAAACTTCTGAGAAAGGGGCAAACATTTTCTGATGTGCTATCGTATTTTGTTAGAATGTCTTGATGTCAAATGTTGCACGAAGCAACGGGACTCTTGTGAGGCAATTATTACAACAGTGTCAGTTGTCCTGGGACTTCACCACCAGCTT